GAGCAACTTCAGTATTAAAATCTAGATGCTCTAGACTCTAGGTCTAGACCTATCTCTTTGTATTTTCTTCTGTTACAATTAGAAAAGGACAAATCACATCCAGAGCACCTAGATGTTCACACCAAAATTGCATTTACCTACTTAGTAACACTAGTGACTATATAGAGACAACCAAATTCAGAGGCAGAGATAACTTTAATAGAATAATTTTTACGATGTTTTCATTCGTTTTACATAAAAAACCTAACCTGACTTAACCTATCAGTTTCATTTTTTTTAATAAAGAATCATGAAAACCGTAGATTGGCTGTCGTTAGACACTATTGTTAATAACTGCGATGTACATATACCTACACAAATTATATAAATTTAATTTCAAGGATTTGCTTCATTACTTACTTACAATTAGTATTGTTCAAAGATGTTTCTGAATAAATTTATCCATGCTTGTAAAATATGTAGTCACAGTATGATCGTGCAGAACCAAGTAATTACTTAACTTACGTACTTTAGACAGATGATCAGATAAATTGCACTTAATATTTCTTCAAGTAGCGGTGCATTATAAGCTGTGCCTCTGAGTTTCCTTGACCAAGAAAGCTTAAGGTAATTCATCTTGAAAGTAGATCGTACAGTCATGACAACATAAAATAACTAATCACTACCACAATATAATATTTTATAAATATATAAAATAAATACATATATTAAAAAAAATCTTTTAAATTTGAAATATAAGATGCCTGTTTGCACATACGATATCTTATAAGAGTAATTTATGTTGATTTTGTCAAAATTGACCCATATTGACTAGTGATAAATAAATTGATGACATTAATTATATAAGGTACAGTATATGCGGGGATTGTCAACAATATGCTTCCATAGCATCGCAATTGCATGCCGAGCATTTTCTAGAGATTTAGGCTACTTAGAATTCTGCTAGTCGAAGAAAATGTTTTTGATATCATTGAAGAAGATCGTGAAAGAGAAGAAGAGGAAAGAAGTTCAAATCCTAATTCTTCAATACCACCTTAAAAGAGTATAATGTTGTCTTTTACTGCAGAACGAGTATGATGCAAACCTTGCTAAATTTGTTAGAATGAGACTACTTTTATTCAACGGAGTAAAGAGTTTCCGAAAGAGGCATGTGCCATGGAATGTCCCCACGTTATATGTTGAACAGATTTTGAACAAAAAAATTCTGCTTTGGCTGGTATTATTAACGCCCTTTTGCACTACCATATCCAATAACTGGCTCAAACACTACATGTTTTGCAAAATAACTTCCCTTAACTACTTGAGGATATAAATGTAAGACAATTTGTTAATTTTTTTGCACGATGATACTCCACCCCATTATAAACGTGAAGTGTGAGGTTATGGATTTCCCAACAGGTGAATAGGCCGCAATGAATCCATATTAAAGTCTCCAAAGTCGCCAGATAAGCGCCTGTACTTTTACTGGGGTTCCCCAAACTTATTTCTGAGGGTGTCACTGAATCTGGATCCATCTTATGAGCGTGCGGTAGGAACAATTGCGATTGCGATATTGATGTTACGGTTTAATGCACATACATTCACTCGACGTTATAGTTATGGTGAAACTGGTCGTAGATATTGGAAGATACAGTACCAATTACCTCGGAAACGCATCCAATTTTTATTTTATAATAATACCATCGATACTGCTTACTCTTATTTCGTCTTTGCGACGGGAAGAATATATCTCCTATATTGTAAAAGGAGAGTACCCGCATATTTCAGAGTAAAATTATTCCTTACATTTTACTTTGAAAAATATATCTGCATGGAGTGTAACTAGATGAATGTATGTAGATCTTAAAAGTTTATTTTTTGTAATAGGCAGATTCTTCTAGAAGCGTATTTTTAGTTTAAAGTCTTTGGGGACTGGTAAGAGCACCAAAAATTACTTCTACGATTCAGCAAAAAATCAAAGTTCCACAATGAGAAATAGTTGTAAGTCATGGTAAACAATACGTTCCTTATTTCACTAACGTTTGCGATATGGTTAATAATAATTAAAGCTTTTAGTCGAATACGAAAAGACGATTTGTAATAGGTACTTAACATTTGATGAGGAATGATAAACTTTATTACAAAATTTATGTGGGTAAATAAAATACGACCAATTAAAAATTTTACGTACATCAGTTATTATAAACCATTCGGAGGACAGTTGAACGTGTGGTACCAGGAAATGGACCTATATTAAAAAATACCACTTGCAAAGGACATGTAAAGCTAAATGGTATAATATATATTTACTTAACTATTTATTTTGGGAAACAACTGCGGATTACACCCACAATATCTATAGTACAGATCATTAGTCAGCAGAATCACCGTAGATAGTTTCGAACTTATTATTCCTCATCAGTATATACATAGGAAACGATGAATAGACTCTTCTAGCTGAAATTGTACAGACCGAATTTGATCCTTGTGTACTATTTATATAGATACTATAGAAATGAACAACTTCAAATTAATTTATTTTTACAAGGAATTAGAAGTATTTATAAGAACAACCAATACGTGTTTCGTAAAATAGATAGGTACGCTAATGTACTTAAAATTACAAAAAACGATATAAAAGAATATTCCTAAATTTAAATAAAGGAAAAGTTTAACATTAGCCGTGTTATTCCCAATGCGCATGCTCGGAAAGAATAGCCTCATACGCAGACCTTGTTGATATGTCATCGCTGTCATCATTAGCGTATTTTCTCTTCTTTTGTTTAATCTTGGCATTTTCTAGTTCTACTAAGTATTTTTATTGTTTTTCTTGGTGCTGTGCTGTATCAGTGTGTTTATCGATTGTTTTTGTCTTCAAGTGGTTTATTATAGACGTACTCTTGCATAACTGAACTTTTCTTGAATGATATCCTATTGCGAGGCTACTCGGCTTACATGAAATTATCTTTAATGCGCATGCTCAGTAAGATTGATATAATTATAATGTATTAATTATTATAAAAGTCAAAATTGTTCCATAAATATAAATATATAAATTCTATCATTCTTTTAGTTTGTCACTTGGTGTTTGAAACTTCTTAAATGTTTCTAATATTGCCAGAATATCACAATATTTAAGGTCATGAAAAAGAATACATTTTGATACTTATGTCCAACATAAGATCGAAAATCGATCTAGTAAAAGTACTGAGAAAATCTTCATGACAATGTGTACCATGGGGTTGCCTATTATTTGGCGTATGTGACGTCACTACTAAAAAGGGCTATTGTAATAAATGAAATTTGTTCAACTGCCGGGTAAATGAACCAGTTAGAAATTATAATTTATATTAAGAATTACAATAAAACGTAGGATTAAAACAAATAACTCTCTTTTACAGAAATTCGATAGAATACACATAGGTACATAGATTGAAAGCTCATTATCAGTGTAAGAATCATCAATCACAAAGATTCTTTCGACAAAATTAGAAGTACCTAAATGTAAATATTGCAGCAAACAAAGAACGAATAAAAAACAATCAATTTCTGGTACTATGAAAATGAGAAAGATATATTATGACTGTCCATTTATCATATACAAAAAGGGAACGTTTTTTTTTTAATTTTGCCCACTATACTCAAATATTAAATAAAAGTAAAAACCTATACCTAGTTATGTTTTTATTATCAGTCAAACCTGAACGACCATGGAAAGACTTCATAATAAAAATATTAAACAAAAACGAAATAATGAATTGCTTAAAGAAATTGAGGTATAATATTTTGGTATATGCACTAAGCGTTTTTCTAAAAAAGTATAGTGAAAGATTAGAAGATTCGATTGAAAATATAATTTGATATTTAAGCATTTTAAAAATTATGTTACTTCCAAATTTTGTTATTTAAATACATAGTACATACTTATGGATATGATACATTAAAAATACAAGTATCATACAAAGAGTAGGTATGTACATACTACATATCAAATAATTTCTCAGAGAAATCAATAAATGTTTATTAAGCAAGTAACTGAATGGCCTATACCGAAAGGTTAAGAAGAAATAGAGGTATGATCTAGCATAATCGGCAAAAGTTGAAAGAAATCTATATGTTAAGTACTTAAATAAATGATCAAATAACAAAAATTATTCTAAAATATCAATAACAAGGTAGGGACTGTAAATGTAATCATTTTAATTAGATTTAAATATGTAGGTATCTAATTGTCGTGATAAAAATTAATGTAGATAAGTGCACAATGAAGTAAATATTGACCAAATACTATTGGTAAAAGTTTTTATTTAAATTGATATTATTTTTGTAAATCAATAGGTAGTAATTTTCGTAAGCAACCCTATTTTTATATTAATTCGCATTTTTTAAATTTATCTCGTAGAATTCGCCATTAAAATTTGGCCAAGAATTTACACCATCTGGTATTTTCACAGTATCACACTTTAATCGAATTATGTTCAATATTTTGTATTAAATAAATAGTTACTGAACTATTAAAGGTAAAGTATAAGTGTTTTTGTGAATGTTATTAAAAATAACTAAATTATTGATCGCACGAAATTGTCGAATTGTTTACAAAAAGTTATTTTTTTAAATTATTAATCGGTGTCACAACTAATTTACACATATCTTTTTGACTTCCTATTGTTATAATTTGATCTGAATGAAACTGAGAAGTTGAAAATTTGTAAATAAAAGTGATTCAGTTTTTTTCAGTAATACTTAATTTATTTTCCATTTATTCATATTACTACAGATTCATAAAAAAAATAATTTGCATTTGCAGTTTTTAAATTGAACAATTGAACGACTTTCAACTGAATTTAAGTAAATTTTTACAAAAAAAAGCAGAAAATTTTATGATATTCCTTAAAAATCATGAGCCCGTATTGAAAATGTACTATTAGAAATATTAGTCATAAATTAGAAAACAATTCAGTTATAAAAAAATTATTTTATTAAAAATATAATATGAACGTAGCTATATCATGTACTCTTACCATATTAAATCAATTAATCAGGAAGTCAATTCATCTGACGAGGATGCCACAGACACTATTACAACAAATTCACCAACTCTTATACGAGTAATCTCTTGCCGCACCAAGTGGAATAACGCATAAGCCTATTTCTTGTCAACTACATCATTTCTCCTCGTATCCCTCCACAGAGATTTGGTGTTAATTCACTTTCAGGGGCCTTGCATCAGAAGAACCCACTGGACCATTCCATCCTTAGACAAGGAAGAATTAATACATTATCTATGAATTAATATACGGAATACGAAATATAAGGCAGGCCCATTGTCAAAGAACTGTTTCGTAAATTCGTTTAAGAATATTCCCATGTTTTTTTTTTATACAAATTAGGTGTGTTCATTTAATTTTAGTCTTGGCAATTATGGTTTTTTTTGCAATGTAGCAGTTTATTTTTGTTATCAATGTGGGAAAAAACTATTTTCGTTAGGCAGAGTAACAAAATAGAGTATAATGCTAATTATAATTGCAAACTTCATATACGTTTTTGTTTCTAAGAAAACTAAAAACATTTAAATAAAAAATACCATGAAATTATAGAGGAATCTAGTACCTAGAATATTTTGACAAAAAGGAAGCCGCTATTAAAAAAATACTATCATAAATTAAAAAAAAAAATGTTTCCAATTTATTTTATTTAATATTGATAATAGAAAAATAATGAAATTAGAGTAACCTAATTTTGCTGTTATAATATACATGGCGTTTTCTAAGTCGGTGTCATAATTTCAAGAGATTATTTCTTAAGTCATTTTATGCTAACAGCCCTGATGAACCAAAAAAATATTTTTTAATTTCAAGATCCTGTACACTGGTCTTGAAATTAAAACATATTTACAGAGCGTCATAAATGATTACAAGCCACGTGACATGTAATTTTGTTTGGAACAATAATTTTATGTCCTTCACGTTTGCCATTAAATTTCTATAAAATTAAAAATTATTAAAACAATAAGATCAAGGTTACATTAAAATACAACGTTTTGTTTCACCAACCGTCATTGGTGTAATTTTTCGCGATATTCAATTCAACCAATCAGCGATCGCATTATCTCGATCGTTGACGCTACGGTTTGTCATTGTTCATTGTAAACGAATCATTAATAGGTATTGGTCACATATTTGTGGATTTTTAATTGACAGTAAAAGCCATTCAATGTTGATTGCCTAGGCTCGGTGGTCACGTAGCTTGTAATCATTTATGAAGGCTCTATATATTCAAATATGAGGATATGTGATGCATTAGTAGGTTTATAAATTTGTCAATCAGTTAAGCACTAATAACTTCACAATTTCGGCACCATGCTGAGTATTTTGAAAATTAGGTAACTAGATTTAAATTTAATGTTTCTAATCGAAAAAATTTTGTTTGTAATTTTAAATACACCATCAAAACCTAAAAAAACTGTTACTTTTCTTAAATAATTTATTGATTCAAATTTTAACGGTATCAATACTTTTTTATTAAAATAATTCAAGGAACAATCTCGTGACGTAACATGAACTTACTAAAACTATATAGATTTAACCGTACTGTTTCTCAGATAATTAAATGTAACACTGATGTAATTAAAAAAATAATTGCCTACCCATACTTCTCTTTCTCATGATCTTGATTACAAATATCAAAGAAATAGACTTAACCTCTTCATAATTACCTAATACTGGTCACCATAGTAGTTTCTGTATAGCGAATTTAAGAAATACGCCGATGATCCTAAATAAAGTAGGAACGACTGCAAAGTTCATATTTTTATAAACAACGTACTAATCCCAACAATATTCTTGTTTCAATGTATGTTTTATTGCTGAAAACGAAGAAAAGTAAATACCATGTCCTTATGCTTTTTCAGATTGAATATTAGAACTGCTGCAATTGGAAGATTTTTTGGTTTTTGTGTTTAAAAAAAATTACCAATTACCTATTATAATAATCGTCAGTGAAGAACCTTTTGTCAGTTACAGTAAATCGACTAAACGCTTTTTGAACCATAAAAAGCTTTTCAACTTAGGCAACCAGTTTAACAATACAACGCCACACAAAAACGACAGTAGCAATTTATAGTTTAAAAAAGTATGAGCTATAACGCTATTTGTGTAATAATCAATAAATCGAGTTTAGAAGCACAACCAAACATGAAAACTTTGAAATAACATTTAGAGAAATAAAAATTCTGCATACTTTTCTACATAATTTTATTGAAGTAAATTAAATACTAAAACACTAATAACAATATGAATAAAATATTAAATACACTTATATGGATTTTATACTGCAGATCTTGAAAGATCATTGAATAATGACTCCATGGTCCAAACTTCTGTGCAGGGTTGAACATCCTTTTCTGGATATAACTTGCTGGTAAGGAATGAAAGGTCTATATCTCCCAGATTTCCAAAATTGACCTGTTCACTTTGCAAATTTCCAAAATTGTTATCCAGTTCTTTATAGGTAGATTTATCAACTGAAATTCTACAATTAATTAAAATACGTTAATTTAAATAACAGAACTTAACTTAAAATGAAAATTCTCACATACATTGGTTTCACATCAGGTAAATTTAGTGGATCATCCTGCAGATCATCAATATCTGGTATAACAGGTATATCATCATCTGATTCCTGTATTTTCTCATTCTGAAACCTTTCTCTAAAATTCAATAGGGTTAATAAGCAAAATTAGATTAAATACTTACTGAGATAAGTAAAGCTACTCAAAAAAAAATAAAAAATAAAAAACACCAAAGCTCCCTCTATATTTAATTAATGCGTGTAAATGTAATAAAATTTATAAATCAGAAATATGGCTAAAGCAACTTACAGTTCAATGATGTTTGAACCGTTTTTTCCCCTAAAACAACACTCAGATAAAACAAAACACTACAAAACACACCCAGAAATGGAGAACCATAAGTATGCAATTCTCATAAGAAATCTTTAATAACATAATTCTCTATAATCAGATTCTAGACACATACTTTTTTATTAAAGTTAAATTTTATATTAAAACTGACTGTTATTGCAAAAAGCAGTAATTAAATTTGGAACTTAGTTAAAAAACAACAAATTTGTATTATTCCTCTCTGTTGATACCCATGGTTTTCCCATTTTTCTATATTAATTCAAAAATACTTTGAATATTTAGATGCTTCCTCACTCCACACACCCATCTTCCTAGTTCTTACAGGTGCAGAGATGTCAATGCCACCATTTGAAGCAAGGGAATCATCTAAAATTTCTTCAGAATCGCCTTGAGTTAATGTGCTGCTCATTCTTCTACCTTCTTTAGGTGCAGACTAAAACATTTACTTTTAGATAAGGAAGAATTATTTTTATTGTTTTACCTTCTTTGAGCCCAAAGGATCACCACCCCAATTCATATTTTTTCAGTTTACAATGCAAAATTGATTACCAACAAATGTTTAATTATTTTGAGGCATAAACAGAGGACAATGAAAAAATATTGATAAAGTTAAACATGCAGTAGTCTACTCACAAGACACAGACCCCACAGACTCTGTGACAGACAAGTTTCTTGTTTGTATATTTGTTGGTTGCCATGGAAGCACCTAACATTAATTGTTAATGGTGCGTTCAGAAATTTCCCGAATTTGCAATAATTCGGAACTCATTGAATTAGCCAATCAAAACATGATCTGTCTTTAGACTTGAGATTTCAGTTGATATAATAAATGGGAAAATTCAACAATATAATTAATATTTTGAATGCTTATATAATTACGTCAACATTTATGCAAACTGAAAAGTTGTTCTTTTAATTACAGATGTAACTGACAACTAAAATAATAAAATCTTTCACGTATATTTTACTTATAGAAGTAAAAAAGTTTCAGATATAATAAGTAGATTATATATTATTTAGAGACTTTAGAGAACTATTAAATCTGTCAGCTGTCATAGATTTCAAATACTAATGCAGAATTCAGGGATTATGAGTAGAAAATAGTAACTAAACTATACAGTTTTTTGTAAACTTATGTTTCAAGTAAAGTGCTTACTAAATCAGTGCTTTCTAGCGATTGAAATATTGTAGTATAGATGCATATTTTCATGGTACATCAATATTCTAGTAGTGGTAAGTTTTAAAAACGACTATTGTACTACACCCCAAAAAATAATCAAAATTGGAACTTTACAACTGTCTAGCGGCTAAATGAAGGTCAATTAACCGATATCTGTCTATTTTGAGTACAGGAATTGTGGTCTTCCACTGAACATCCTGTATATTTTTTATTCTCAATGGTAAAATGACACATTATAAAAATTGATTTATTTCAATCTATAGATTGCTCTACCCTTTACTGGTAAATCCAATCCCAAAAATAATTTTATGAGATCACCAAAATAACTACTCCATTCATTTTGTTATGCCTACACAAAAATATATCACTATTTTTCTTAAAGTTCTGTGTTCCACATTCGGTAGTAATTATAATAAAACTGTAAAACTCTCAAAAACGTAAACGTTATCTCCAGTTCCATGAAGAACATATGGTTCATATGAAACGCAAGAGGAAAACAGTTAAATTCATCTGGAAAACCATTAAATTTCTGTCTATTTAATTCGTCAATTAATGAAGCTGAGGGCAGTTTGTGAATTTCAACCAGAATTTAATGTGAACCGGTATATCTCCTTGACCTAATCGTTATGGCGAAGAAAGTCGTATAGCCAATGAGTGACCAATGAGGAAGGCAGTCGAAGAAGAGGAAAGTGCAGTATTCAGAGATACTTGTGGTCAGTTAAGTGCCGTAGACTGTGCAGCAGGAGGAATTATGGGAGCCTTCCTGCGAATGAACTGCCTCAAGTTAGTGATATTAAGTGTGCTTTATTTAAATGTGTCCTTAGGTGAGTGACCATTCCTGATAAAGGCATATTCTCGCGAGGGCCTGTTTGTATATGAAGCATTAGTTGCAAATGAATAAATTCGTCAGTCTCAGATAATTATGAAAGTGAAAATAACGTAACAGTCTGTCAACCAGCAAATATAAGTTTTTTAAACCGAGATTTTGCTTGTTACAATTTATTTCTTGTAAATTACATGTTATGTCATTGAAAGTGGGTGCAGTATTCCCTTTTGTAATTTTTATTTACAAATAATAAACAAGTTTTTCCTGTAGAAATACTGTCTTCTTGATCGTTGACGTATCACATCCTGAATGTAAAAAATTCCCACGTAGCTGCCATCTAAGCACAGCATCGGAATTTAAAACAATTTTGTAGATTGCATAATAACACCATAACAATAAAAATTTACCCACAATTTATTCATTGATATTATGAAACTTTATATTAGCAATATTCGCACTTAACTGAAACTACCTTCATTTTTTTATTATTTTTTTGCTAGTTCTGGTTAAACTAAATAGCATTTATGATTCAAGAATTACGTTATAATGAATTCTAATAGTTTGTATTCATATTATGTAAATGATTCAGGTATTTATCTGTACTTTGCATATTAGTTTTACATTTGCATCAATTTTCAGGAAGTTGACCTTAGTTTGTAACTGAATTTAATGATATACAATGTTACAACTGCAAAACTGAAATTGGTTCTTTAATTAAATCAATCCAAAAAAGATACCTGCTTCCAGTAACTATTAAGGCTATTAAGGTAATAGTAATAAATCTAGATCAAGTTTTCATTTAATCATTTAGGTAACAAGATACTGGAATATAATCCATCGATATTTGCAAATTTATTAAAGTATTGTATCAACTGGTAGTCGAATGAAACCACAATCAATACAATAAACAATAGCTGTTGTTTTTATTAATCACAGTTAAATGCAAATTGCAATGAACTTGTTCAATACTAACACTTTTTGACACCGATACTCCTTTGTGGTTCTTACAATGAAGCCAAAACACAGTTGGTAAGGTCATCGTCCCCGTGTACTGTTTTCTAATATGATTTCTAAACGAGTGCTCATTTTGCAACAAAAACGTCTGTTGAACTTTGTATATGTAATTAACCTTTCTGCTTACTGCTCGTAAATTAGTTTTTATAGTCTTTCTCTCACTGTGTTCAAAGATTTGTAATGGAATCAATATGAATTCGGTTGCATATGAAAATGATTTTTTTAATTTTCTTGTAACTTTTATCCTCTGGTACAATCTATTTTTTTTTTCTTAGGAGAAATATAAGACAGTTCTTCGCAAAAACTAAAGTACTCTTTCAAAATTATACGACCATATCAGGGCCTACTGTTTTTCAGCGCTATACTGTGACAAATTATCAAGAATTCAGTCACGTTTTACAAGTTAGATCATGAATAATGCAATAAAACAAGCATATGGTTATAGACAATAGAACTAACTAAAAATCTTGTTAATCTCGCTATAATCGGTTGTTCCTTCTTGATATAGTGGTGAACTTCTAATTAACTGATCACGATTTATAATGGAGTTGATCAATAGCTTGTCCACACTGTGAGTAAATTTAAGAAATGAAATGGTTAATACGAATTGTTCAATGATTTAAAGGTTTTTTACCAGAAAGCCTATTCGAAAATAATTTTTACCTCAAAAATACGCCCGTCAATTCTTTGTACCGAGAATTTTAAATCACCCTGTATATACCTTAAAAAAATATATTATAAAATTCTCCGAATAATTACACACGTTATCAAATCTTGTAATTACAACCTTGAAATACCAACTATTGCGAATAGAAACTCAGAAATTTGCCATAATGCATCAAATTCTACCTTTGACATCATTATATGATGATATTGCCTTCGGTGAGTTATCAGTAGCATTAGTAAATTATTCAATTGAACTTAAATCAAAATTAAGAGCGCCCATTAATTTCATTTGTATTTTATAACTCTTTATAATATATTATCTTGAAATTTTCAGTTGTTTAAAATTTAAATAGCACAAATTTATAAAGGCTCATAATAAGACCAATTTAATTAGTTTCTTGCTGAATGCATCAGTCCAGTAACTTTGATGACTCAAAGCTTAGTATGGTCATTGGCTTATAAATCCAATGGCATGGCCTTAATGGGTGCAAGTACCTTAGTTAAACATTTAAAACTGGAAAAACAATAGATGACGACTTTTAGCAACAATAGTTATAAGTTTATCTATTAAATTAGAAGCAACTAAGTATCATCAAATAAGGATACTTGTTTTGCCTTCAATTTCCATAGAAAGGAAATTAGTATAACATTTATTATGACAGAAAAAACAGATTTTGGCCAAGTAACTTATACAATTTTATAATGATAATAAATAATTACAAATAAATGGTAAGCTGCGACAAAATATTTGCATTAGGAAGTATATACCTGAACTTCAATTTTTTATGCATAATTAAATGTTTTTATTTTATTATTGAACAGTTTCTTGCTTTATAGTGACGCTATTGAGTTATCGCCGCTCAAGGCTAAGCAGCACTCCTGATAATTTTGGTAGGGTAGAGTAAAGTAAGTGTGTGCCATTTTTTACATCCCCAACATTCTTACTATTGACCCTGAGGATATATTTTGTTGTAATGATCGTTCCACATGTTTTATAGAAAATTCATTAATTAAATTCTTCCTGTAATGGGGTGTTTGTTACCTTTGCAGATATTAATAGAAAATGAATGAATAGGCTTCGTATTAAATTTTTTTAAATCAAAAATTTTTATTGTAGAGTAATATTCGGTGACAAAATACATAGACATAACAAAATTTTAAATTATTATTGTTTTACCTAAACACAATGCTTTTATTCTTTTTTTCATCAGTAAAATATTAAGAAAATAGTAAAAAAGAAGTTTTCCTGTCACTTTTTTCTTTTTTTTATATGTTTTACTAAAATTCTATATTCTCTAACTGTTCTGTCATAGTCTAAGTCTTCAATCTTTGTCTGCGCCCTACTCTCCCCTACCAGTAGTTGACAAATTTCGCTGACAGCCAACCAAGCCTTTGTCTGTCGCTACTGGTGCATAGTGTATCATTTAAGTTATTAATTATGCGATATATTAACTCCTTAGCAAGAGATAAACATCTACATTGCTGATTTCTGAATTTAAAAGCCCCTGATCGTCAAAGCATAGAGTATAACTGGTTTTACCAGTAATACCAGTTGGGTTGAATGAAGAATTCTTCATAAATTATTACCTAAAATCTTTTTGTGGTTAGCGCAGGTAGATTCAGTTCCAGAAGATCTTAATGGCCATTCGAATACATGCATGGAAAATATGTTAGCATTGGTAAAATTGACATTTAGCCCACGTCTTTGAAAACCATAAGGTTTGGTATTGAACATAGAAAGTACTATAAAGTCAGAAAGGAATCAGGAAAACAAGTGAATGTCATTTTAAAAAATATGGTTATCATGATGTGGCTTAACTTCAGGAAATAAGTACCGTTCATCTATTCCGCTTGTTTTAACATTTTCAGTTTTCTTTCAACATGGTATGGGGAAAAAAGTAAACTCTTTCTCAATTAAAATTTTAGTGGCTATCTAAAATTTGCTACTACATAGATATTATCAGTATCACCACTATGACTTACAATAACTGTGTATGTTATTGACAGTGGATACAGAAAGCTGTCTAGAATACGAAATAAATTAATGGATATGCCATTTAAAAATATCATTTTAATTAAGTAAATGTTTTGACTAATGAAAGAATAAATTTTTATATTCAGTCTAAAAATTATTGTAATTTTGCCTTGGTGCAATCCAAAGACATGATTCTCAATTCCTTTAAGAAATAGTTCAAAAACGAGTAATTTTTAGTTCAGCTTTAATGTTTTGGTGTATCTGATTCAAGAATAAATTTCAACGTTATCTTCAGATTGTATAGAAGGTGAATCCGAATTTGGGACATTTGATTTGACCAATTTATATTAAGATTTCTATCTCCATAAAACAATTACACTTTAGTTTTATCGACATCAAAGTATCCGTTAATTAGTTTGCCAGTTCAAGATTCATTAATCTACGTAAAACACATTTGGAGATATTTGTATTTTTCTAATATTTTCCAAAAACTTTAACACGAGAACTTTTTTCTCCAGAATTGAACAACTACTACTCAGTAAGTAATTGAAGTAAACTAATACCTACATCTTATTGGAAAACAAATGTAGTAAAACGCAGATTTCTCAAATTGATATTTATCTATAGAGATAAATTAGTTTTATTACTTTCGCGACCTTCTGTTATTCGTAAAACCAGACCAAGAAGTATTAGCTGCTGTTCTGGTTCCATTACGAACGAGTAATATACAGGTTATTCAAAAAAACATATTCCATCATTCGTGAAGCGATTCCTTAACTATAAATTGAACAAAAAATATCAAGAGGTAAGTTTTGTTAGATAAGCATTTAGATATCTACATAACTGTGCTATCAAAAAGTCGAAAAATCAGTAATATACATTTTTTACGTAATTGATATAATGAGAGATTCTTTAAAAATTCTAAAACATAAAATGATATCCTGGGAGTGTTTATTATTGACACTAAAACAAAAGACATTTACATTGTTTATACACAAATCGTTTTAAAATAAATTTTTTATTCTCATCTTATTGGAAATATTGCATCCACAGTTTAATTACTCCTGAAATCTTAAAAAAGCATGAAATAAGAGAATAACCGATCGAAATTGTCCTATTGTAATCAAGAAATAAATTAGATTTGTTGATTTTTTTTACTAGGCAAAGACTAGCTGCAACTGTGTTCCAGTAGACCCATCAAAAGTATAAACAAAATAAATTGTCAATTTTCACACAAATTGGAATATAATAAACGTATTCCTAGTCATTTCGTTTATGCAATTATTAGATGGTACTTGCAATTCTTAATTTTTAATTTTTGTGGAAATATTTCTTTAGCTAAA